TTGATATGCATCTGCAGGTGCTCTTGGGAATTTTCTTGTGTCTAACACTTTAGAGATACTGTCACTTTGTTGTGACATAAAAATATTAGAGCAAGACAGCACGAGTTCGTTTTCCTTTACTTCTTTCGATCCGGTTTGATTTGTATTCTGAAGTAGTTCCCAGTCAGAGTTGTGTATTTTCATAGCCAGAAATTCCACAAGAAAATCTAGATTACTGGAAATGTTAAACATTAAATGTCTTGGAACAGATGTCGGATGATTTGTTTCTGGGGTTTCCTTGTAGTTTGCATCGTCTATTACAGCGAAGACCACAGATTTTCCTTTTGATGATTGATTAAAGTTTTGATAGAGATCATTACATTGGATTGAATAATTTGTTAAATCATACTTTGAAATAATTACAATGAAAATGTTCGAAGCAAAATTATAAACCTTAGCCATGTTTTTTGGTGAGAAAGTTAAATGTTTGGACTCAATATTAAACTTAGTCCTGATAATTTTCCTCAGCATTTTGGCGCTGTCTTGGCACTGATTGGTTGTAACGATTGTCATGGAAACAGAACTATTCGAACCAGTCCAAAAACATTTAATCAGTTTCTCTGAAAATTATGGAGACAATGTTAAACGAAATGTGTAAAATTATACAAAGTGGACATAAACTTTATACCATATAATTCATATAAAATTAATCTTTTTGATGAAGATCAATGTAGTTCTCTATCCTTTGTGTCGTCTTTAAGATTTTATGATTTCATAGTGAATATATTGTATTTGCTACCAACTTATTTTTTTCTTCATCAGCACGACACCTATTAGAATTCCTGCTACAGCTGCAAATCCACCACAAATTAGTGCCACTAGTAAAGGATCAATGTTAGACTTTTGTCTGACATTCGCTGAAAAAAAGCATATTAAAATATCATTTATTTATAGATCATTGTATTTATATCTTGATTTGTAAGCTTTCAAGTAAGCTCGTATACAAATACAAAGATTATTAACATGCAAGTTCACCTTTATTATTCTGCATTTATTAACTGTCGTAATTATGTATCATTTATAAAATAGAGGGAAAAAAACAAATGATCGATCAAAAAATTGATTTGAATTTTTATGTAAAATACAATTTCGCAGTTTGATATGCTAGTATATGTAGATTTATATTACTATTTTGTCTATCACTATAGTTACTTGTGTTCTTACCATCTTTTTTTATTGGATAGGTAAAAAGATCTGATTTTTTTGCAGTACAAGTAACACACTGTCTGTGTCCAGGGATGTTTATACTACAAGGACACTGACTCCCCTCCATCATCTGAAAGATACTCACCTACAATTAAAAATCACTGACGTTGTCCTTTTTAAATTTACCGTTAAATACTGACATATCACCATGAATAATGATATATCACAATGAATACTGATATATCACAGTGAATACTGATCTATCACAGTGAATACTGATCTATCACAGTGAATACTGATATATATCTCAGTGAATACTGACATATCACAGTGCATACCGACATACATGTATCACAGTGAATACTGAATATATCACAGTGAAAACTAAAATATCACAGTGAATACTGATATATATCTCAGTGAATACTGATATTTCACAGTGAATACTGATATTTCACAGTGAATACTGACATATCATAGTGACTACTGACATATCACAATGAGTACTGATATATCACAGTGAATACTTATATATATATCGCAGTGAATACTGATATATGATAATATCGCAGTGAATACTGATATATGATAATATCGCAGTGAATACTGATATATGATATTATCACAGTGTATACTGATATATATCTCGGTGAATATTGATATTTAACAGTGAATACTGAAATATCAAAGTGATAACTGATACGTGACAGTGAAAACTGACATATTCCAGTGAATACTGATATATCAAAGTGAATACTGATATATCTCAGTGAAATCTGATATACCACAGTGAATACAGAGGTGTCACATTGAATATGGTCTTATCATAATGAATACTACATATCTCAGAGAATACTGTCAATCACGGAGAATACTGTACGTTATATGAACATTCCAAAACTTGCTTTGAATACTAGTGGCTATAATTGAGACCAGACAAAAAATATGTGTCTCATTGTCAGTAGTGTATCCGTAGGTGACCGGGTATAGATTTGCAACTGACCGGGTATAAGTAATCCACCGCCTTCACGTGACAGACTTAAACCAATCGTAAGCCAGGATTTCACAGAAAAATCAACAGAGGTGGGGTAAAATAATATAATATACACTTATCCACTGGTTGTGAGTGGGATAGCTCTTTTATCAAACCCGCGACAGGGAACTATTCCCCGAGGGCTTGCCCGAGGGGAATAGTTCCTGTCAAGGGTTTGATAAAAGAGCTATCCCACTCACAACCAGTGGATAAGTGTTTTATTATACTGATGTATAATATAATTTCTGAGGTTTGAATTTTTTTGGAGTTAGATAATACTCCAAGAATAATCTGAAATCCTGATGACGTCACAGTGCTACTGAAATCATTATGACATCATTCGTCAATAGATTTATTTCTGGAAATCAAAATTGGAGGCAAAAATTGCATGAAAATTTTCCGAGGGTGGATAGCAAAAACTATACCCCAGGGTATAGCTTTGCTATGCGTGAACTATAAAAGATAGTTATTTTACCATCTTAACTTTATATAGGAAACATTTTAACAGAAGAATAATAATAAATATGTTTCCCTTGAATAAAGATAGATATCATTAATGAAAATTTTAAAATCATTAACAAATATTTGTCTTTTTTTACATGAATGTATTTTTTCTGACAATATCACATTGGTTTTTCGAAACGTGCTTTAATATATGTACTTCCACCTGCGAAATGGTAACATCGGCGAGTTATTAAATGATCTTAAGCCTCCCTTCTATTACATTTGTGAATTATTCTTCAATAAAAATATTCATACATACCACAGCGTAATATATTCCTTTTGTGACATTCATGAATACGATGTAATTCTGGAAAGAAAAATAAGAATTCTACAGTTGATAATAGCCCTTTTACATTTGCTTATTTTGCCAGATCATTTAACCATTGGTAATAAAAATTGAAGATCTGATATTGGTATAACTTAACCCTGTTTAATTTAAGATTTTCAATACTTTTGATTCCGTATACAAAAACTTCTGTCGAAAAACATATTCCAGTGAATTATTTGGTTTTTCTATTCTAATTGAAGGACTCTTTGCAGTGAATTATTTGGTTTTTGTTTGGCCTTATTTTGTAATTTACATTCCAATGTTTGTTAACACTTGTGGATATTAACTAATAAAAGAATGTAACATAATCCACGGACAATCCCTTCGCCATGTTTACCGTCAATGTCTGATTTGATTCACAGCAACAACAGAATTTCTTCCGTGTTTTGAATAATACAACAACGAAATATTCGACTATAAAATTTAATAATCGAGTAACTATGCAATGATCTTCCAAGTAATCATTAAAAGGTTGTATATGACGTGTGTTTGTTTCATTATTCTATCAAATGTATTTACCATTTCAGTTTTATCTGCTTTTATGAGATTGTTCTTGTTATCCCATAATTCCACTGCGTACCATTTAACGTCACGACTCTTTACGTCAAATGAAATCTTCAGATAAGACGAATTAGATCCGCTGGTCGTAATTTCACTTATCCAATCTTTAATATTGATATGTATAAAGATATTTAAAGCATTAAATGAAAACTAAAGAAAAGAAAAATTTGAATTTTCTATTAAACTTATCAAACAAAACCACCTTCTGTAACAGCACGTACATCCAACAGCTGATGAATTTCTGGGCCTGCACTAATTCTTCCACTGACTGACAGGGCAAGGGACGCCTGTAAAAATGTTCTCATCAGTTGATGTTACTTGATTTTATTAATAAGATGAGAGACTCCAGGGTAAAGTTAAAGACGCCTGTACCATTTATTCCAAAGGATTAAGACACATGTACCATTTATTTGATAGGGGTAAAGACGTCTGTACCATTTATTTCATAGGGTAACGAGAAATGTACCATTTATATTTGATTAGGTAAAGACGCCTGTTCCATTTATTTCATAGGATTAAAGACGCACGTTCCATTAATTGATATAGATTAAAGATGCTTCTACCATTTATTTGATAGGGTGATAGACACCTGTACCATGTATTGGATAGGGTTACAGCCATATATACCATCTATTTGATAAGGTAAAAGACGCCTGTACCATTTATTTCATAGGATTAAAGACACCTGCACCATTTATTTGATAGAGGTAAAGACGCCTGTACCATTAATTGATATTTTATGTTTTCATAGGATTAAAGACGCATGTACCATATATTAGTATTTGATAGAGTAAAAGATGCCTGTACTATTTATCTGATAGGTTAAAGATACCTGCACCATTCATTTGATAGGGTAATAGACGCCTGTACCATTTATTTGATAGGGAAAAGACGCCTGCACCATTAATTGATAGGGGTAAAAGACGCCTGTACCATTTATTTGATAGGGTAAAAGACGCCTTAAATGAAAAAAAAGGTTTAATTATTTTCAATAATGAATTAAAACAGATTATCTGTTACCGTTTATAGATTATATAGATTATACATTTGAAAAACAACAGAACTTTAAATTCCAGCGATTTAATTTTAACACGAAATTAGAATAGCACACAATTATAATACCATACCAGTTGGGCTCTACATCTTGGAAATAAGGTCGATTTACATAATAATCTGTCATCGTCATACATTAAAAAGATAAAAAGATAGCCTCTTCTGTACTCTGAATACTCTTCTACAATGATTTAATCATCATCATTTATCAATACAGAATATTTAAAGTTTTATTGAACTTCTAAAATAAATTGATAACGTAAATTGTAAAATTACAAATGTAAATTATAAATTGATAATGCAAATTATAAAATTATAAATGTATGCCATTTGAATTAACTTTTCTTTAAAAAAAAACTCACTTGAAATATCTAACTTAATGACAGTTCTGTTATTGACAAATTCACGAGACAAGACCTGGGTGTTTGAGCTCAACACGGTGAAGTTGTTCAGCCTGTGATTCCGGCCCGTGGCTTGACTGCAAACTAATAATTATGAGTTATATAAAAAAAAAACAAGTTTCATAAAGCTATATTAAAAAATTGTTTGGTTGACCTCTCCCGAACAATTGGATAAAAATGGTCAAACTCAAAGCTTCCGAGAAGTATGTTCCGAAAATTCATCATTATCTTTAATATTATATAGATAAAAAAATTTCACTTAACTACTGACGCCATTTTTTTATCCTGTTTTGGAAGAGTTCAAACAAACATTATTTTAAAGTGTAATTGTTTTTAAAATAAAATATAATAATAGAATCCTGTCGATTTCAGGAACCCCTCACCTTCCACTGAATATTGTTCCTCCAGGCAAGTGTCACATTGAACGTTTGATTTCTCCTATAAAATATGAAGTTATATGGGGAATAAAAAAAATAATAGGGTACAATGAAGATCAAACATTAAACTGGATATATAAAACTGGTTACAGATGTGATACTGGATAGATAATAAATACACCAAACTGGATATAGATAATTACTGGGTATCAAAGTCCAAATACAAACAAGAAATTGAATACAAGAATGAACCTGGATATAAAACTGTTGGCCCTATTCTAAATTTCTATTATTTCAATGGACATAAGAACTTGATTACTTTTTTTTTTATTTCCCATAAAGTTGGATAGAATAGTAAATGATAACTCTCAGTAGGCGGAGTGCTCATCAGAAATAGATATGGATGGATATGATTTATACTTAGAAGCAATAACATTTTAAACTCACCGTCGGCTGAATTTGACATCCATCAGAAAATATGAACAGATTCATCAGAATTACACAGCCATGAAGAATACGGCACCAAACCATTGTCGTTATAAGTTACAAGTGTTACTCGTTTCACTTTAATTCAGGATAAATACTGGCATGTGCTACTGTTTGTTCAATAAATCGGTAATCTTGTGCAAGCTCTCATGTTGTAATGACGTAGAATTGCTAATATATTCAAAATCCTCGGATTTCTTCCTCAAATAAAATTTATACATGCTATTAAGATTACTACACCTGGTAACTCATTTCTTTACAGAGTAAGTTTTGAAATTTGAAGAGAAAATAGTTTTGAATCATGTGAATGGAATCTGTCGTAAAGTTTCGTGTTTGTCTTGAAATATTATTATTCCTGATTGTTTTTTTTTTTTTAGCTCACATGAAGGCTCAAGTGAGCTTTTCTGATCAAAATTTGTCCGTTGTCTGTCGTCGTCGTTGTCGTCTTTGTTGTCGTTAACTTTTCACATTTTCGACTTCTTCTGAAGAACCACTAGGCCAATTTCAACCAAACTTGACACAAAGTATACTTAGGTAAAGGGAATTCAAGTTTGTTCAAATGAAGGGTCACGCCCTTATTCAAGAGGAGATAATTCAGAAATAGTGAAAATTTGGTACATATATGTTTTAAAAATCTTCCTCTCAAGAACCACTGTGCCAGGAAAGATGAAACTTATAGGGAAGCATCCTAAGGTAGTTAAGATTCAAGTATGTTCAAATCATGACCCCACGGGGACATAGAAATATATAGGAAAATTCTGTAAAAAATTTCTTCTCAAGGATAGCAAAGGCATGAATGATCATATCTATATGGAAGCATCTTCAGGTAGTGTAGATTCGGGTTTGTTGAAATCATGACCCCTGACTGTAGGGTGGGGCCACAACAGGGAATCCAAGTTTTACATAGAAATATGTAGGAAAATTCTTTAAAATTCTTCTTCTCAGGAATAGCATAGGCATAAATTATATTTTTATGGAAGCATCCTCAGGTAATGGAGATTCAGGTTTGTTCAAATCATGACCCCTGGGGCTTGGGCGGGGCCACAATGGCCGATCAAAGTTTCACATAGAAATATATAGGAAAATTCTTTAAAAATCTTCTTCTCTGGAATAGCAAAGGCATGAATGACACCCCCGACCCCCCTATAGATCCGCGCATGCCAATGAATTTTATTGAAATGTACATTCAAATGGTCTTACAAAATGTTTTAGTAGTATGAGGGTGTTTAATGTACAGGCAATTCGATATAAGAGATTTTGCATGGATAATTGTACTGTACTAAAAAAATTAAAGAGAAAATTGGTACTGTAAATTTGCATATACTCGCTACAGATGCTAATGATACTTAAGGAATGAAGCTAATTTCAACATATGTTTAAAAAAAAAAAAGTCCGCGTTTTCGTGAATGTTGCAGAATAACCTCCGAGGTCGAGAAATATTGTTTGAAAGATAAAAGCCGAGGCGTTAGCCGAGGCTTTTATATTTCAAACAACATTTCGAGACCGAGGAGGTTATTCTGCATCATTCACGACAACAAGGACTTTATTTCTATTCTACCATGTATAACTACAATCGCTAAATTACGGATAATCGTTTCCTCTATAGAGAAACGAATTAGGTAACCAAGTCTCGATTACGCTGTTTCATTTAACACCAGAGGTAAAATTTGTTTGCTTACCTGTGTATAGAATGCAGACGATTTGAGTTTTCTTTACATTAAAAATGGCCTTTTTAAATTACAAATTTGTTTGTAATATGTATTGATCAGTTAGAATGAATATACAATAACAAAATCATGTTCCTGTTTTACTGCTAAAATCACGTTGTTTAATGTGTAGGGAGGTCCGTGGAATAGCCCCGCCTAGCTATAAAAACCGACATTCATCAGCAACTTGATGCAATTTACAGTGTGTATACTGCAAAAGACGACACATCGATGCGGTCTAAACAAGTATTTCATTTTACAGCCAAACATGCATTTGAATTGTTCAGGTTTGATACGTGTTTCTGATCTGATAATTTTTTGATGACGTTCGTGATTTATTGGAAAATAATGTCCGCCGGTTTCCTTTGATGTTTCCAATAATCGTGGTAGAATATATGCTATAACATAACTTGGGGCAGTTTACGCTTTATAAACCGTATAACATATGCTGAAATTAGCTTCATTCCTTATAATTTAATTTCACTCCGGAAAAAAGCCTTTAAATAAAGCATATTTTAAAAGTAACGTCAAGCGGAGTAATACGTTTTTGACGTAACTCATTGTGACGTAAGCAAGTTATGTTATACAAAATATTATATGTTCCTCTAAATGATTCAGCCAATGAAATTGCTTGATACAAGTGAAATTAAATTATTTTTTGACAAAAAAAGTAAAACCTCAGTCAAAATATATTTCTAGGGGGCGGAGGCCGCTTTAAAACCTTCTAAAATCTCTAGGTTGAGGGATGTCCAAGATCACGTGTGAACAATTTCTAACACGAGGTAAATTATTAACAAGCAAGCTGATGAAACAAGAATAACAGCAGTCTCGTTTAAAGTCATCATCTCGCAAGTTCTATGATCGATACAATGACCTTGTCAGAAACTACAATTTATCATTGAGTCAAATGCTGACTGGCGTTTTTCATACCAATTGTTAGTCCATTATTTATACACTGAATTGACGACGGATTTTTCCGTTATTTCCCGATCATGACAAGGAGCACACGGCGGGTGAGACCGGCGGTCAGCAGGGGATGCTTACTCCTCCATGGCATCTGATCCCACCTCTGATGTTTCGGAGGTACATGTTTGCTCTGCTCCTATTTTGTAATTTTCATTGACTTTGATATTGTCAATACTGTTTGTTATAGAACTCCAAATCAAAATGTTACATTATCATTATCATGATTATGTCCGCCATCACGAAATGTCCGCCTCCCCACCCCACCCCTCCCAAGTTAACATTTTTTGTTGGTTTGTTATGTACATTTGATAGCTGCGCAAATTTAAGGGAGTGGGGTCCGGAACCATCCATACATATCTTTTGATCTGTGCATGAACTTGTCAAATTCAAAATGTGAGAACGATTTTTTAAACTGGCCTTTAAATAAACATTTTCAAACGTAAAAAATAAAAGAAGGGGGGGGGGAGGTAGCTCACTCCCCCGATGCTTCGAGCCTGTTATTGATAAAATGTCGCCGACACATCGTCATCTATAATATGAATACTTTTTTATATCTCGTAACCAGCCTCTATAACCAGGCAGAGCGCATGCGCGCAACAAATTTACATCGAGATCGGAAAACAGAAGAGAGGAAATTCGGAATATATAACGAAAACCAGTAACTGCTATTCTCAAATGCAGAAATTTATGCATAATTCAATAAAACTTTATTTAAAAAGCCGAAGAATAAATAAGTCCACATTGCAATTAGTTTTTATTCGTTTATTTAATCTTTTATTTATTTATTTATTTATTTATTTTTATTTATTTATTTATTTTTATTTTTTTAATTGTAATAATTATTAATAAACTAAGTAACTTATTTATTCATTAGGAAATTTATTTGTCTGTTTATTTATTTTATTTATTTATTTATTTATTTATTTATTTATTTATTTATTTATTTATTTATTTATTATTTATTATTTATTTATTTATTTATTCATTCATTTACTATATATTTTTTTCTCTCTCTCTGTTATAGACAGGTTCTGTTTTTGTATTGCTAGGGTTTATGTTCCCATAACCAGGGTTTGTATACCCATCATCACCAGGGTATATATACACATCAACAGGGTCCATTTTATCTATCACCAGGGTTTATATACCCATCACCAGGGTCTATATTATCTATCACCAGGGTCTGTATACCGATCA